TTAGGCGGCTGCCGCTTTGCCGCGCTGCATCTTTGTTGTGTCGGGGCGTAAATGTACTACGAATAGGGTATAGAGACATATGCCTTTGTCTTGGTCGCGTGTCGCTGTCGCAGCGCGGAAGGACTGGGATGCTACAAATTAAATAAAAGATATATTTTTTGAATAAACTTTAGATAGTTTTGCGTTTTTAATAGATTATGTAGTCAGAAAAAAAACTATGGGCAGTTCTTTATCTGATACTTGCCATCTTCATGCAGTGAGCTCTAAAACACAACTACTGATTTGTTACACTTTCAGTCTCATCTTCCTCTCGTGTTAGCATCAGTTGCGAAACACGGCAGGTACCACAGAAGAAAGCAGAACTATTAAAAGGATGATCGGTACTGCTCGAAAAAAACCTAATAACTGATTAAGCAGAACAACATTCCACGCATTTCTGGCGAGCCAAATAGCGAGCAGGCAACCAAGCAGGGACGTACCTCGTTGGTCGTATTGGATTCCTTTCTCTGTGTTCATAGTGCGGATCGCGGAAGAATCCGATATGTTGAAGCATTTAAGATGAGGGGCGTTAATTCGTTTCATCTACCTGAACTTTTTAAATAACGTTATATCATATAATAATAGCTTTCTTTTTGCGTTATACCTGAGAGGATGTAATTTAATGAAATTAGGGTCGCAGCTTGTAGATGGGAATGAAAGCCCATCGAGGAAAATGTCTTGACGAAATGGAAATATTTTCGGCCTGTGTCAGGATTGGTACAGTGAAGGCGATTCTGTAATTGCAGTACTGCACTTTGGTCCTGACTTAACTCCTGTTGTACTGAAGAGATGTGCAGCGGAGAAAGAGATGTGCAGCGGAGAGAGCTCTAATTCTTGTGCATTTCTTTCAGATATCTCACGAAACCCGTTCTTTTCCAGCGAATCGGAAAGCTCATCCCCAGCCCGTCCGAAAAAAGTATTTAAGACCGACCCTTATGACTACACACATATATGGAGCTCTGATTTCTCTTGTCAGCCAGATGATGGAGGAGTGCATAAATCGAGAGCATCTGGAGTATCTCAGACATCAGGGCTTAATTCGCGACAATTAGTACGGCTTCCGGTACCAGCGATCAATGGGGAATCTCCTAGTCTACCTCACACAACTGTGGAGAAAACTTATCCAAGTGAAGCACATATCATTGCTCTTGATATCACGAAATCTTCGGATCAGCTGTGGCATGGTGTCGTTTTATCCAAACTTCCATTGCATGGCCTCTCAACCCACAGTGTCAACGCTGCTGCTCCCCAGGGATCGGCCTTGGCACCAACCTCCTCTCATGTACTTTAAATTCGATCCCCTGCCTTGCTGATGACTTCCTTTCTGACGAGAGATTTGGAATTTATCACTGCTTCGAGATGGAACAATCTGGTATAGTTTGATGCTTCCGAAATACATCACTGTTCCTTGGCTAACAAGAAGCGCCTAGCGCTCATCCGGTCCAGATGGTTTGACTCTTCATAAACGCATTTTTTCAATCGCAATAGCTACTGGGAAAAAACTAGGTTATTTGTTTAGGGCTAAAAAGTATTTTTCTCCACAGAACCTCTTCACTCTGTACATGGTCCAGTCCGACTGATCGATGATACTTCACTAACGGACGATCGGCGATTTGACTCTCCGTTACCGCTATGTCAACGGGCTTTGCTCCTAAGAGCTCTCCTCCATGATGAAGCCGCGCATTGAGCCTGTCAGACGGACCCGCCTCCCTTGCCACTCATCCCAACTCTGTCGAACTTCGTACAACTGGCTGGTACGACCGCGATTATGGAACAAACTGCTTGAGTAGGCTTTCCCAGTTCTGATAACCTTAGGCAGTTCATTAATCCGATTAAAAACGTGTCTTCAAACCAGAGGGGATAGATGAAAAGTACTTTAAAATTCATTAGGATTATGTATAATGAAATTCACGATGACAGACAATTGTATGTAAATTGGGTATTCAAATGAATCTTGATCTTGGAGATTATGTAACGCTCGACATTTTGGTGACTCGCGACATGAATACTTTCAATTTTCGGTTCAATCTTGTTTCGTTTTGGTTGTGCAAGTGTTTATCTGCTTTTAGTGGCATAATATGCAGAAACAGTCTCGTATATTGCATTGGAATTCGCAAATCAGCCTTCAAAACAATTTCTCTCTACCCTTTCACACGGTGCAAAGTAAAAGTTTTCGTACAACGTTCACTCTCAGGAAGATGAAAATGATAAAATCTTTAGCTTGTTTTAAATGTTGTATATTAATGAATCAAAACTCGACAGGCTTTACATACAACCAGACTTTCGAGTAAGGTGACAAGACCGTCTCAGACGTTGGTCTATTTAGTCTTCATAGTATAAAATCTTTAAAATGGATCTTTCAAATTGTATTTGAATTAAATAGGGTCAAGAATGTGTACGGAAGAGCAAACGTACAAAATTATCCGGATATTTCAACTTTCTAGTGCGGATGCCGCGAGTTAAGACCACTGGGTATGTTGGCAAACTGGTAACTGCCGATTTCTACTACTTACTGGGCATTCCTTCTATGTTTTGACTTAAATCATGAAATCTGTTGCACGCTCAATAGTGTTCATAAAACAAAAGTTGGATTAGGCAAAAACCTCGCATCCGTGGGAAAATATTCCCAGTCGATTTTTTAAATTAAGAGTTTGCAGGTGCAAATTTGTTTTGTTTTTTGGGTCATTGTTTTTTCGTTTTTTGAGCGATTGTGGACAGAGAACGACCTTAGCAATTGCTTGAAGAAACTGCTTAAATACCTGGTTGAAAATTATTATTCATGAAGTTGCCAAGTGTCTCCATTAAAGTTCAAACCTCATCTTACATGACCACGAAGAGCAATTTAGGCTTAGTGTAGTTTGAAAGATTGTTATTTTATTATTAATAATGCGATATAGATAACGCGCGCATCCTTCTAATGTACGGAATATTCCGTTTTGGTTTGAATATTCATAATATTCTTAACCGAGTTCTAAAGCATTAAAAATGGCCTTTTTCAGGCTTTCCAGACTCCAAATCACTTAAAACGGTCTACGGCCAAGCTTAGAAAAAAGTTACTAAAAACGATTTTTGTTCAGAATGATCCAAAAAAACAAAAAGTTTGCCCGGATTGTTTAACAAATTTTCAATAGGTTACCACCCGGCAACCTTTTGATTCACGGGAAGAGACAAACGTTATTGTGAAAATAGTCAAGGTGGAAAATTTCACCCTCTCATGCGAGGTTTTCGGTTTGTCTAAGTTAAAGTAGTTTTTTTCAAGCAACGTCTAGGCATATCTGTCGTTTTGTTTGTACATTTTAAAGTGTTAATGACCCATTGAGAAAAGTTAATCAAGACATTCTGTTGGGCTAACTATTTGATTGATTTGGCACCTATGCTAAGTCTATCTAAGAATACCATGAATGCTTAATGCTGTCAGATAATCTACCCGTACCACGGATCAAAATTAATTCAGAATATTCAAACATAGAAAGTGGATGCACATCTTCTGAGTCATTTAATTGAAAATATTCCTATACGCATGTTATTGCTCAGGGGGTAATCGTTTTATCAAGAAGATTATAACCGGTAAAATATCTTGCCTGCTTTTGTATCCTATGAAGAATGCGGTCGGAAGATCCACCTATTAGGCACAGAGCAGGACTTAGGGTTTACCTCCTGCTCATTAGTTTTGTATGCATAATCAGTTTTTGAGGAAAGCACACCTAACTTTTTCCATAGTGATACTACGTTGTACGTTTAAAGCACGTATCTCCTCTTTCTGCTAGGTATCAGACAGTGTCATAGCTTGCTCCTAAGTGACACCCACACCAAAAGTTGTGTGGGGGGGGGTCAGTAAGTGGAGATAAAGGTTTGAGGTAATTTTTTTTTCATAAAAGAAACAAAAACGATTGCATAAAATAACATGAACAAATAGTTACGTATTGACAAAGCATTGTCTTGCAGAATTAACGCTCCAAGGTGACGAAATAGTAAATACGCTTTTCTTGTCCTTAACTTTACTGCTCATAAGGAAGGACGATACGCTCATCGCAAACATTTTCAGAATTTCGCATAACATAACTTTATGAGGGCCAGACGCGGAATTTGGAATTGGAATATACGATACACTAATAGGGATTCATCAAGTCAAGTAGCTTGATATTTTCGTAAATGCCTTGACTTGGCTTGAAAATAAAATTACTTGAAATGTTAATGCTTGACGTGATCTTTTTATTGTTCTACTTGACTTGAGGTCAAGCATTTTCAAACTACTTGATACTTGATGGTAAATTATATTTGTGCAGTTATTGCAAAAACATTTATACCTATTTTAAGGGAAGGAATAATAGATGCTCTGCTCAGGCTAAATAGGAGAAGTCTCAAAGCTATAGTAGGACTGTGCATAGGCTCATGCGCGCCCTCAGAAATTTTTGTCAGGGTGCCGATCATCGGCGAGAGGTAACTTTTTGTGAATGTCAACCTGCACCAAAAAATTTTTGTTCCGCGATCGCAATTTTTTTCGAGGGAGGGGGCAAATCCTATTTATAATCCACATGTGCAAGTTGTGACATTGATTACAAACTGTACATGGAGGGACACAGATTGTCCCATTATGTGTAAATGACTTTATTGATATATTAATCTACGTATTTTGGCGAGTTTTATCGTATGCCAAAATTTGGCAAAAAAACACCCTGAAAATCGTCAAGCTTTTCACATGAAAGTGGCGCGTTTCTCTGATAAAAAACAAATATAAGACTTTAACAACTGAATATTAAGGTCAGCCGATGTAGTTTCCTGTGTATCATTTTACCAAAATAGATTTTAAAATTACAATTAGAAATGTTTTGAGATAAAGAATATACGTTCGAATACCAGAAAATGTATGCAATATCAATTTTTCACGCACACCTGTAATTACTCACAGCTTAAAATACCAATATCGCGGAATATATCCATGTAAATATGTACGTTATCAGTGAAGCTTACAGCGTAGGCTTGTTTAGTTGTTTCGCTGTTGTAGTGACAGTTCAATTCAACAATTTTTTATTTCCAGTAGATAAAGTGTTATCATCCATGGATGAGTAAGCCTGTTCATACTTGTTATAAGGTAGATTTTAAAGAGTTTCGTGAAAACGTTCGTTGGTTTGGAAAGGTATTCGTGCATCATTTAATCTCTCGAGATTAGAAGGCGAAATTGGGCGTTATGTTGTCACGACCATTTATTTCGTTTCTGAACTATGTCATTTTTATCTCAGTCAGCCTTCAGTGCTCGCCTACAAAATTCATTTCACTATTTTTAGAAATTCTGCGTTGACCTGAAATACGTAATCAAACAAGTATCATTATTCAAACGTAAGGCAACCTTTGAAATTGATAATTATTTAGAAAAGGATGATGGTTCAAATGAAACGATTGAAGCAATTTTTACTTCTTGCAAGTTATGTCACCTAAAATACTAGTTGCTATTACATCTTACAGTAGTTTTGTATGCATTACCTAATAGCTACTTCTCGAAGGGCGCAAATTTAGTTCTTCTTTTTTTCTGCAGATGGTGTATACCGAGGCACACATGACTTCCATGCGCGGGGAGCTTGAAATAGTGCAGAAGGCCCTTAAGCTTCAAACGAAAAGATGTCGTCAGCTGGTTGCCGAGTACACCAGGCGATTGCAGGAGAAAGAAGTTCAGTATCAATCGGAAAAAGCGCTGAGGGATGACCAGTTAGCTAAGGTACGACATAAAAGCCATATGTTTCACTCAGTGCACTCAATTAAATATTACTTGGCTTTAAGATAACTCCCACTTCAAAAGAGCTAATAAAGCTTCTTTTTCCGTAGTTATAGTATACTTCCATGCCTGGTTACTATCAAATGGGGTCAGGGTGAACTAATCAAAAATTTCATCATGGTTTTTCTGAAAAAAAGTCACCCTGTATTTAGCTGTCATTCACTTCATGTTCACTTGTAGTAGCTGTGCATCTTGCCCAAACGTTATGACACTTGACCTATACGGACTATTCTATTCTATTGGAGGCCATTTATAGCTCCTATGACCTAAGCTGTAAGTTTTGTACTAAAGCTAGAAAAATACACTGTAATGCACAGTGGCGATTACTGTTCATTAGAATGTCTGTTGATGATGTTTCCTTTTGTTTTCATAAAGCATGCTGGCGAAATGTGAGTTGCAGCATCTTAGTCAACATGGTCGTTGAGCCATTCCTCCATAGGTGGCGCTCACAGCGAGTAGGCGCTGCATGAGCCAGCGACTACCTAGTTCACAACTTGACATTATACAATTTTTAAATGACATTACATCATTTTTTATGTAATACCCCTACCGTTGTTTGATGAATTATATATGAAGATCACGAATATGTCAGTTTTTCTCTGAGACTGACAAGGGGTCTAGAAAGTCACATTTGCCAACTCTAAATTGGGCTTTGAAACCATTTAGCATTCATATTCGAAACTTGTGTTCGAAATTATCACAATATGCCCAAGATTGTTCGTACCTCATGTTATTTTGACGTTGAGATCAACGGGAGACACCAAAAGTCCCATGTTCCTACTACTAGTAGAGCTCTGATACTGAAGCATTTTTTGATGGCCATATTCGAGATCTGTGTCGCAGGTGTCGTTCGAGTGACAGCACTCTGCATGCACAGTGAGTGCTGGAGAATAGAAAACTAGCAGCGACTTCCTCTCTGATGAGATACCTGGAGGTTATCACTGCTTGGGGACGCAACAAATTCGTACAGTTCTATGCTTCCAAAACACAGTGCTGTACCTTGACTAACAAGAAGCGCCCTAGCTCGCATCCGGTTTCGATGGATGGACGAGTTCTTTCAAAATTCCAAAAAGCCGTTCATTCCGGTTAAGTTAAGGCTATTTGTTTAGAGCTGAGAAATACTTTTCTCCACATAATCTCCTCACTCCGTACAACTCCCAGATAAGACCTATCCTCGAGTTGGGGTTTGCCGCAACGACTACATTATTCATGTTTGATACTGTTCCGGAGAGGGTTGTCCGCTTGATCGATAACTCTTCTCTAACGGGTGCGATCTAGCTTTCTTTTCCCACTACGTCAATGGGCTTTGCTCCTGAGAGCTCTACTACATGATGCCGCTGAGCGATGTGCCTGTCAGACAGACCCGGCTGACTTCAGTCTCCCATCCTAACCGTGTCGAAGTTCGTACATCTAGAACTGCCTGATACTACCGCTCCTTTGTCAGTAGTGTATCAACATTGTGGAACAACCTACTTGAGGTGGCTTTTCTCAGTTCTACTAAAATTAGACAATTCAAAAATCGGAATAACAAAGTTTCTTTAGGCTCCTCGTAGCAGTCTCGGTATAAAAAAATGCTGAGATGTTGAGAGGCCCCAGTGGTCAAGTTCAGATGTGTGCTTGTTATGAAAATTTGTTTATTTGTATACCAATCCTTGTAAACTACGCAATGGGATATGTTATTATACACTACGTTCAAATTGTATTTTTTACATGTCTAAGGAGCTTTTTGTTCTAGGTCCTGAGGGCGCTTTTGATCTTCGAAGCCCGCCTGAAGCAAGAGCAGAAGTACATCAGCCACCAACTGAACGAAAAAGACTACATCATCAAGAAACAAAGCAACGACATCAAAAAACTGCTCTCCAACCAGTATTGTAAAAATTGCAACCAGTATTATACCTCGAGCCCCATCCAAGAGAGTTTAGAAAGTAGCTCAGAATATGTGGTAACCGACTATCAGTCTTCTAATTTTGAATCTTTGGATAGTAGCAGTGAAACCTATGCTTTGATGTCAGAGAAAGATTACAATAAGTCTGAGTGTTCATACCAAACATACAACGATGATATTTCTAAGTCTGAAACTGAGTCTGTGAAAAGTCTCTATCAGAAGAATAGAAATAAGGATTCCTTAGGAAGACGGTCGAGGAAGATACCTCACAGAAAAAGCATTGGGACATACTTTGAAGTACTTAAATTAAGAAACGATAACAACAGTCCAATGTCTAACGAAGATAATACAAGCAACGATTACGAACATTTAGATTCGTTACCACCTGAGAGCCTTACTGATAAAATCAGCGAAATATCAGGAAATATCGAGTCGATCTTCGAAAAGAACCAACATCTCACTGCTGGAACTGAATCTAGTACAAACATATCAACTTCTGAATGCAATAACACAGTAATCAACAAGTATTTTTCTGACCAGTCATCAGAACCAACGAAGCTAGACAACCAAGAACCAAGTGAGACTAAGGAGAGGAAACTCTCAGATACCATCCCCGTGTTTGAAGCAGATGAAGAGACAAATGACAACTGGTACGCCAGTGCTAGTGATCAAGAAGACGAGGAGCACAGAGATATTTACAGGAACAATCCGGTGTTAGAATGCATGAATCAAATTCTGCTCCAGAATATCAACGATCCATTGAATTCACCACCTAAGACCCCGAATATTGAAAGGAAGTCTATGAAAAACAAGCGAGTTAAATTCAGCGATGAAGAACAAGATACCAAGCCGGAGGGATGCTCGGACTTGAAAGAAGAGAATTTAAAAAAGAGGGATGACGGCTCCAACCATGACTACTACGAAACTCCAGTGCAAAAAACTCCAAACTTCTACGAAACACCCCAGAGTATATATAGTAATGACTATGAACAGATTTTGAGTAGGCGCAGTGAAATTTCCACTGGTTCTCCGCCCAATGGCGGTCTGAAACCAAGAAAAGTGGAAACACCTTCAAGTCACTACTATATAGACATGGATAGTAGGAGCGATGAGGGAGACAACAAACTGGCGAGAAAATTGAAAATATCAAGAACTCCGCCTGCTTTACCACCAAAACCAGCCAACCTAACGTCAAAATATAAAATACAAAACTCTACTACTAAAGCACCTTCTGAAAAGAGCGATGAAAGCGTTCTAGAGTTTGAACCAGATTACTGTTCAATATCAGAACTAAATTTACCTCAACAGAAGAATGTTTCATTTCAGAAAATCAGTGTAGTGGCGGAAATTAATGCACCTTCTTCACTGGATGTTCTAAATAAGTTAAAGCCTCCAGGAGACAGCAAAACAGAAGTAGAGGGCAAACCAACAAAATCTGAGATCGAAAGTAAACTCGAAACGCCCAAGACGTCACCTGCTATTGAAAACAACAGAAATTCAGGTTCATTGAACGAGAAGCTTGACAATTTGAACAAGAAAGAGAGCAAGATTGATACTTTAAGCAAACTATCTACACATAATGACAATAAGGATGACTTCCTAAACAAAATGAATCCACTGAATGACCCCAAGATGCTTGCTTTGAGTAAGATTAAGTTTCCTAACGAAAAAAATATTGACATTCTAAGCAAGCTGAACACTAATAAAGAGAACAAAATCAAGGAAAAGATCGCAGATTTCAATCAGATAAACGAGAGCTTAATCGTGAAAAAGTGCGTAGAGAAGTTGAACATTCAACTAGCTAAACAGACACCAATTAAATCAGAAGTGAATTTGAATACATCGAAAAGGAACGAACCTGAAATTCCAAAGTTACCACAGGTGTCAGAAATAATAATACCTGATGAAAATGAAGAAAAAAAGGAAGAGCGTATAACCCAAGACAATTACGTGAAAAACAACTCGCAAATTTTCAAGTTGAGTAAGACAGGCCGGAATGACATACCTCGTAGACCTATTGTTATCGGTTCTTCTGTATCTAGTCTCATCTCAGAGTTCAACAATCAACAAATATTGTCGGAATTGAAGAAGAAACCGGATCGCAAAGTAAATCAGCATATGTTTTCTAGTTTTGATAAAAGTCAAAACTATGATAAACAAGCATCCGTCAAGGACAATACACTCGATTCCTCAAAATTTGAAAGCTTTGATTTGAGTCAGAATTTTGAGGAGTTCAAACTGGACGAGTGTGACATAGAAGAATATAAAGTGGACGAAGATCTAAGAAGCGAATCTTCAGGAAAGTCGATCGAGAAACCCACAGACGTTATCACATCGACTCCTAGAGTTGAAATTGTTAGAGCTACAAATGATGCCTTGACCCCTCAGCTCAGCAGGAATTCCATAGAGATGCTCAGAAAGCAGTTAGAGCAGCAGAAAAGCCAAATTCACAGTGAGCAACCCAAAGAGAATACCGGGTTCAAAGGAACTGAACCAACGTATGAGCATTTCTTAGAATGTACTGGGCTTAGTTCTAAGTCCATTTTAACACCTTCTAGGTTACTGAGCAATCATAAGAGTATGTTGAAACCAAAAGACGTGAAACTACGGTCGAAAGTCAGGAATAGCAACGGGATTATATTTGACAGACATGCAAATCCTTCAGTCAAGTACTGGTCAGAACCATACGTGTAAGATTTGTAAATAATTATGCGTGGATACCACAAGACACACATCTTCTATCTCTTTCTAAGACACGTATTCCACGCTTCTCGCGCTTCTCTCTCGTACACATTACGACGTCACTGGTATATGGTTTTCACTGTATGTAACTAGATTGTATTATTGTGACAGTAACATGTTTTAGATGCCGATCTAGGTGTCAGCTTAATACTCCCCACTTATATTTTGAGTTCATCCAACGAAGATTGTTTTTCCCGTCTTATAATATTTTTTAAATAGACTTAAAAAGTGAATATACATCAGTAGGACCAATAATTTTCAGCAACAAATGCATTTGAAACACTGGAATCAATTCAAATAATCAACTAAATGTTCTAATGACAGCTTCACCATTATCAAAGTCTGAAGTATAAATAATATATTATGTATTATCAAGTGGTTAGCATGTATATATTTTGTTATGATAGCTGTATTTATCTTACTTTTTGCATTGTATTCATAATTATGTTTCTTTTTTATTTATTTTACATATTTAAACATGTAATACGATTTATACTATAGCGTTCTAGTATATTTTTTGTGTTTTGGAAGATGCTTTTAAATAAGTGTGTTAATTCCATTGCGCAAAATAATTTTTCTATTAAAGTTTATATTTATTTGTACAGTATATTCTGGTTTTATTATCACAATTTTTTTTCATAAAACGAAACATGATACCAGCAATTAAAAGGTCACCTGCATCATGTAATGGGGGTATCAGATGATACTAGTTGTCCATATTACAGGGTGAAGAGTGCTCTCGGCGCGGTAAGCCTGAGAGAGTCAGTTAGATACTCACTTAGTTCATCTGATGAATTTGGGGGGTTGGGGGCTCACGATTTATGACTACTAACGTGTCTTGAAAAGCGACATTCTGTCAGATTTTTTTGACGTTTCGTAGGTTTTTTTTTGTGACATAACGTAGGTGTTGTACAAGATGTAAATTTAGCACAAGCTAATGTCATACCCTTGTTGTGAACTCGCTTTGTAGCTGTACGTGTTGCTTAAACGTCCGCGATCTTAGCGAGCAAACGTGGAATGAACTTATTTGCAGACTAAAAAACTACCTAGTCTGCAAGATGACATTTCGTCGATTTTTTTAACGTTTTTTAGGTTTTTGTCATAATACCCTTGCAGGAGATGCCCGTCTCGGGGAGTGTCGGCGATTGAAAATTGAAGAACGGGGGTGAGGAGGAGGGAGGTTTCTGGGCCGCCAGGACATTAATAAAATAGGAACTTTGAAAAAGAATATCTAACCTTTTGCAGGTTGTCCAATATTACTTTCAATATTTGGTTGTGGATAAATCAGAAAACAAAATCATGACCAAAGTAACATGCTGCATCATGCCCTCTTTTACCAGATAGAAAATCTGAACCAAAAATTGGACACCCGAAAAAAATATCTGTACGCATACTTTTGTCGCACATTGTATATTATTATTTACATCTGTTTCTACAAAAAATTCTACCGTTAGAAAAGACAAATGAAAGACACGGATGATTTGATGTTCAACCAATCACGATTCAGTAAATTGAATGGTTTGTCTCTCGGTTGCTTTAGCCGTTTGTTTGGACGCTTTCGGGGTTTTTGAACAATTTTCATGATTTCTTGAAGAAAGTGCAGTAGTAATTAGTCAGGCGGTTAGTGATGATCAAAACGTACGTACGTTATTGACAGTTTTCGCGTGTGCAATAGAACTTTGGACATTTATTTGATACCCATGGACCATGGAGAGAAACTGCGTTACTCACTTGTAAGTTCAGGTTCAAGTACCAGATGCATAAAAATACAATTTCTCACGCTCCTGACTGTCTGGACTGTAGATTTTACCATTTTCAAAGACAGAAGAAAACGGCAGTCACTACACAACAGGCTGAAGCGTTTTGATGATTTGTATTTCTTTCCAAATCAACCCACGGTTTTTATTTGCTATACCTACTTACTGTGTTGCTATTAGTCCTCGAATAAAATTTTACAATAAATTTTGGGTTTTCGAAATTGTGTTTAGGTATAATACTGCGGAAAAGATCAATCATTCAAAAAACAATCTAGATAGAAAAAAAGCTTTGTTGCAAAATGATTATAGGTATCTTCCTAAGTTCATGATGTAGAAAGGCTGCTTACAGGTTGTTTTAATTGGTTTCAGGTACAACAAGTGTAATACTGTTCAGGTAAGTTTTCTTCAGTAGTAGATTGTTTTTAACATTCCATTGCAAAGGAAAACTAAAATGTAACCATTTAATGCAGTCAACCAACAGTTTAGATATAGAGACATATTTCGAATAAAAAGTTTTCATAACTTATCACTTGACTGATATTGGTCTCATATTTGGAATTATAAGTAGTATGTTCAAAAGGAATGAAAAAGGAGATGATGCATGTATTTTGGTGCCTTGATTGGTGCTGAATTAAACATCATTTATGGATTCAACCCAGTGTTTCAAAGTGGTAGGGCTTGGTAGGTAGGGCAATAGACAGGAATTTTTCAAAATCTGTTTTTATTGGAAACTTTAGGCGAATAAACTAGTAATATAGGTTTCATTCATCTGACCACAAACATCTAACCATGAACTGCTGTTTCATGCTATTTGACAACTTTTCAGCAAATATCACACACTCTGTATTTACTGTGATGCCATCAGCCATGGGATGTAATATATTTATTGACCATTCAGGTTGGATATCACTAATTTTTGATGTATAATAACATTACATAGAAATCCACTGACACTGATGATCATTAGTAAGTACTGATGGTATGGACCACAGTAAAAGCTGATTTCGGCTAAAATGTACAAAATGTATCCTAATGTTTTTCAATTTTTCTTCAGATTATCATTTATATTCATGCTGGACATAACATTATTTTGTCTTATACAACCAACGTACTTGAAGTTCATTTCTAGAAATGGAAACTTCAGTAGAACATTATATTGGAAAAAATAAGAAAGTTGAATTAACTGTGGTTTAAGGTTTAGGTCTATTTATTCTAATAAATTGGCAATCTATATAGACACTTGTTTAAAGGTTTTGTTATTACACATGCCTCAATGAAGTCTTTCTAAATCTGTTACACCTTGACTGCTTTTCTTTCTCACAGTTCTACTCTGCTGTAAAAAATATACACCTTTGTTTAATAAGTTCCTTAACTGTTCAACACTGATATCGTTAAACATGTCCACACAACTCATGATGAGGTCCCAGCAGAAGCAGCACTGTTCTCTTGTGCATCTTTGTACACAATTTCCAAGGCAGTGGTGATGGTCCGTACATCTCCCTCAATGGTCTTGGCCCAGTTCTCAACATCCCCCAACTCTTTGAGAGCTCCACTGAACTGTTCAACCAGTTGCAACCATTGCTGAGTGTGCTTACCAAAGGCTGCTGCACTGGCATGAAGTTGCTTTGCTTCTGCGTCCAGTCGTTTTTGGTTCAGGTAGGCCTGTGCCACGCCAACGTTGAGGTGGTCCACTAGGTGTTGAGTTAGCTCACTGGCTGCCTGACAGGCTTCTTTACGCTTGGTTTCTTGGGACTCCTTTTTTGCGGTTTGCCGACTTTGATGCTCCTTCAGCATCGACGATAACATTTTGAGGCTTCTTCCTCCGGTTATTAACTTCAAATGCAATTCAACTTGAGAATGATTTTCTTTTTCATTGTAAATCAATGATCAATCCTAAACAAAGCTTGTTTCTGTCAAATGATCAGCATCAGCTGATATAACCTCGTTGTTTAAATTTTGACGTTTCCCCAATACAACGTTGCCGACTGCATTGAAAACGTGTAGAATTTGGTGGAATGTTGGTTCCTCCACTGCTTATGTCCATAGGCGCAGGCAGGGAATTTTCCCAGCGGTCTATTTAAAAAATGTTTAGCCCGCCAAAGTAATGGGATCTCTATACAGGAATATTTTTGTTGCACTATTTGGCTATAATTATGGCACCTATAGCCCAGCCATCAAGAAGATATTGCAGCATATGGCCCGGCTACATCAACTATATCTTGGCAATAATTAAAATTTGTCATCAGAGTAGCAGTGTAGAACACATCCTAGAAGTACCGCATTGCATTCCTGCGGAACTTCACGGTCATATCAAAGATCTTAAGGTGCGCCTGGCACCGGGAGGGGATCCAATCACCAACAAGGCACTGAAACTTTTGTCGTCGAGCGCTTTGGCATATCTCCTAACAATAATTAATGCGATGCCTCAGGCTCCAAAATTTTACAAGAGACTGAAAAATCGTTGAAGTTGTGATGATCCCGAAAAAGGTGGGATTAATTTTCGCACAGGACTATCGCCCCATAAGTTTATTGTCTTCTCCGTCTAAATTGGCCGAAACGGTTATTCATACTCACCTCGAGAATTACTGTTTTGATCTCCAAACAATTGCCGACGTACGCGTACAATTCGAGTTTCGCACGGAGCACAGTACTTCGCAACAGGCATTGAGACGATAATCTCTGGATTTACTCAAAAACAAAGTACTGGAGCTCTTTTTTTATATTTCAAAGGCTTTTGATCAGGTGTGGCATGCAAGGCTGCTTTACAAATTGATCAATAAGGGATTTCCCTTTTGGCTCTCAAAATTGCTTAAGTCCTTAGAAGGAAGAAAGTTTAGGATCAATATTAAGGATGCCACGTATCATCCTATCAGGGCAGGCGTTCCCTATGCTTGGGTCCTGAGGCCTAGTCCCTATTCTTTATACCCACATGCCCCACCCACTGCTAGGTACTACTTTATGCGGACATGGCTCTGGTAGTATCATCATACTCGCCTGATCGGGTGAGTGGAAGACTGCAGGATACCGTGGGTGGATTATATGGGTGGGCCCTCCGGTGGCGCATCAAAATTAATGACTTCAAGGCTGTCTACACCAGAGCAGATTTCTGTAAATGATGTCTCTGTCTCATGGGGAACAACTGCGAAATATTTTGTTGTCACATTAGATAAAACTATGATTTGGAAAACTCATTCAAAACTTAACCAGAGGTTTTAGCTAATTGACTATTGATCAATTATTGCGGCTGCGCTGTTGTAACGATTTCTTCATAACAAATGAATTGACTTGCAGGCTAACAGCAAAACTTCTTTAGCGTAAACATGCTCAGTAAAGCTTAAAGGATATATGTCCGACGTACAGGAAATGAAAATAAAACTCATTGGCATTTGACTCTAAAAAATATATTAATATTTCGTTTTTATATAATCAGCTAAACTTAAGAATACTCAGTTCATTAAAATCCAGAGGCCCACTCTAAAAATGTGATGAATATTGAAAAAACATTTAGGTAGTAATATACGAGTAGTTCCAGTGGCACCAGACATTTCTTAAAATCTAGGTATAATGGTTTTAAAAATGCTGCTAATGTACAAGTTTATATGATCAAAATGGTATAATACAATGCTTTCCGAAAAGTCCTCCCTTCCCCATTATTTTTTATCAGGTCAAGGTAGCAGGCTGAAATTCAAGGTGATAAAATTGATGCATGAGTTATAAGATCGATGCTTCGAGATCGCTTTTTAAAAAGTTTATTTTTCGAAAATACAAAACTCAAAACTGTACTTTTACAAAATTATTACAATGTTATTATGATGTAAACAGTACAAAGGCTTAAATCTGACTGACTGTAAAATGTGTTGAGAACAATAAAGTAAACTCTAGGTCTTCTAGGAAATTAGTAGCATCGTCGGAAGTATTCCTATCATATCAGCAGGAACGGCTGATATAACTCCTCCCCCCTGAGATTCAACTTCGGGGAAGAATTCTTCAAGGAAGTTGAATAGGATGAAGTTCGAGTTCTGGTTGTTGAATACTTCTATTTCTGAGCTTCCTCCTCTTCAAAATGGTTTTCCAGAATACGTAGACACCCAAGAGTAATATACATCCATATATTATCAGTGTCCAGGCACTGGGTATAAAAAATTCTGTAGGTTTTTTGAAGTTGGGTTTGTTGTTGATAATGCTTGACTTGATTTTACTTAACTCGTCTAGCTTAATTTTTTCTAGATGCAGACTGAAATTTGTTTCTGTGATGTCGCCTTTAGTGTCCAGGTTTAAATCCGGGAATATTATAGGTTGGCCCGCGACAATCGTTTCGGGTTCATTTTTGATGATTTGGTGATTAATTTCGGCTTGACAGTTGACAGGAATATAAAGTAGGTAAGTTCCCGTCAATCTTTTCATTTGCATTTCTTCGTGGCATTCCATTTTGATAACGTCTGGTAGTGGCAGGATCAATACCCATTGATTAGTCCGTTGGATTCGTTCGATACTTGGCTGATTGATTATCAGTGGAGTTCGGGCACATGCAGGGGCGTTTCTTCCATTGAATAGTTAAGTTCACAGGGTAATGGACCATTAATGTCTCGCAAGATGGTCTTCTCGCAGAGAAACTTTTTAGGAGCAATTTCAGTACAAATGTCGCCGAAAAGTGCAAAGTGCAATCCTTTGGAATGATAGTCTTAAATTGACCTTCAAAATATATCGGGATTGGAAAGAGACGATATAAGTTAAATGACTCATAGTATGAGATTGGGAATGATAAAACGAATGTAATTTTGTTGCCCACAGAATAACTGGAGATTTTGATTATTTTTTCAAAAGTTGGTATGTTATCTAGTAAAACTGGAATCGCAAATTTTTCCTGGCCTAATCTTGAGCTCAATAGTTTCAGTTCACCAAAAATTTCTTCGGTTGTAATAATGCTAGAGTGAATTGTTCCAAGACGTGCAAAAATTATTGAATTTTCAACGTCTTATAATATTGACAGAGTTACTTCGTAGCTGTTCATAATTTGAGATACTGTGTCTACTATGAATTTATGCTGATCTGAATCGATTGTAGTACGATGAACAATTGCATATATGGTATTAATTTTATTATTCAGCAATTGTTCATTATGACAGATTTGCTGAACAGTTTTATTGAACTTATCAATAAGAGATACTGACAGTGCATTATTCTGTGTGACTCTGTCAGTCAATTCTCTTTGATTATTTTGAAGCTCTCGAATTAGATTTTCGAAACGTTCGCCATCATTGGCGTCAAGGTTTCCAGTTATTGATTTGAATATCGACCCAATGCCATTTAATATGCCTCTTTTTCCTCGCTTTGTATGGGAAAATATATTATGTAACTTTTGTTCTACCTGTCGCTGAACAAATTTTAATGTTCTGAAATAATTGGACAAATATGTAGTGACATTTAAATTTGAAGAACTGATTTCTGCTATACGTGAGGAGGAAATTGATAATTTTTCAATTTCAGAAATGATGGGATTCATATCATAATAATGAATGAGTGAAAAGTCATAGTCTTTTACTTTTGCTTCACCAATTTCCGCGGGAAGTAGTCCTGGATTGTTGTCGAGGTTACGTATAGTTATGCTATCCTGAAGTCCAACCGTTACTTGCAGGAATCTGCAAATGAATAATACCTACATGTATGTATGTCGTACTTGGAGAGAAACATTTAGTTGCTAAATGAATATGGTTTGCGAAGGGGACGCTTCAAATTATCGATATGTACTTTATTGTGTTTATCAGTAGTAGCGGTATTTTTACCAGGATCGACTGATGTTAGTGTACATGATTTTTGGAATTTATTTTCATTTTTCTGACGTATATTTTTCTTAACGAATGCTTTCTGACCTGGTTGAAATATTTTTGCACTATCTCGAGCTATGTTTGCCTTTTCAATTACTTTTTCTTTATTTTGAACAAGCGCCTCGTTGATTTTGGTATATAATAGCTTACTGCGTGCTTTGTGTTGTTCTACATAATCATTCAACAAAATTTGGTCTAAGCTGATGTCAAATGTATCTTTTTCACTGAGATGACCATTTATGACATCGATGGGTTTTAATTTAGTCACAGAATGAACAGAGTTGTTGTATGCTAAGATTGCGTATATCATTTTCATTTGGACAGATGTTTTTTGAAAGCCTTGAGTGTTTAAAATTCGGAGTTGCTCAGATATTGTCGAATGAAATCTTTCGACTACGCCATTTGACTGGGGATGGTTCGGGGAACAGAAATGTATTTCGATTCCATGTAAACCTAATAACTCGGATATGACTGAGTTTTTAAACTCGGTGCCATTGTCAGTAATAACTTGTGTCGGGATTCCATGGTGGGAAAAGTATCGGATAAGGTTGTCAGGTACTTCGGTACCTGTCATTGAATTGAGATGGTAAGCTTGAGCGTACTTTGAAAAACTATCGATAATGGTCAAAAATTTAGATTTTTCAAATTTGTATGTGTCCATGTGAATTATTTCAAATGGCTTCACAGCAGTGGGAGTGATATTCATTTGCGCTTTAACAGGGTGTCTCTCGTATTTGGCTTGTTGACAGATTTCGCAGTCATTTATGTATGACTGAACGGAACTTTTCAAATTTGGCCAATAGTACTTTTGTTTTAAGCGAGAATAGGTTTCATCGATCCCGCGATGATTTGATTTCCCTTCATGATAATTTTGTATTAAACTTTTAATTTCATCATTACTAGTGATGTCTAGAAGTTTTTCAAGACACCTTTTAAACTTGATAGAGGGCCATTTAAAATACTTTTGTAAAGCGCCTGAGA